GGCCCGAAACGTCAGCCTTACTGCTCCTATGATGCTGCTTGGCCTGCTGTGTTCATCCAGCTCTGCACTTGTTGTCTCAGATTTTCCAGCGTCTGCAGTTCCTACTATCTCCCACCCACTCATGCTTCTATTGTCTAAGTTAAAAACAACAACCAGAGACAACTCCAACTTTACCAACTGCCTGTCTGAAGCAGATATTCTGGCACCATAGCAGCTCCCTGTGCAAGAGGAACAACATTAAACACATCTCTCTTAAAGGCACAGTACCATCACACATGCCACTATGCCACCCTAGTTAGCAGTGCATTTAAAAAATCACCAACAGAAGCAATGTCCAGCTTTATCATGCCAAGGTAACTTTAAAAGATTCGGAAATAGACAAAGATCAAAATCTACAGTTCAATTACAGAATAAATAATGCTAATATACACAAAGAGATTAACAGCTTACAGCAAGCATCTTGAAAGAAAACCCAGAGCACTGAGGTATGTATTGATTACAATAAGTATCAACCTTTGGAAGATACAATCCACGGTGGAGACGCAATTGGCTGAATTGCCTTTCTCCACACTGTGGAGAATTCTGTGATTCTGTAGTTAAACTACAGATGAATCTTCAAAGACACTACAAGCACCAGGGGTTATCAGTTGATGCAGCCAGTTCAACTGTTTAGAAGCAGCATTCCAAAACAGTCAGCTTTACAGTCTATGATTAAACCTGATAAAGTTACAAGCAAGAATAGACTGGTCAAAAACAAGTTTATCTCATTTGCAGTATGAAAAGCAAATCAACTCTTTCAGAAACGTAAAATTCCTCTCTCACACAATTTGAGGAAAATAAAGATCCTCAAGCAAAACAAACCTTCAGCAGTGATGTTGTCGTCACTGGATGTGGACACTTTGTGGGTTTACCAACACCAAATGGACGTCGCAATTCAAGGCGACAGCTCACCATGTTCTCAAAGGCATTAGGAATGGACAATGAATGTTAAACCAGCCAGTAAATGCCCATATCCTATGAACGTTTTTTTTTAAAACAAAAAGAAGACCTCAGACCTCAGCGAAGAACATCCATGAAATCAAAGACCTGCCAAGGTTACAGTGTAACAACAAAGTATACTTGAACGCCTCAGCTTCAAGCAATAAGCTTCTTTAAAAGTTCAATCCAATCAAGTCATTAGTCATTTGTAAAGTAAGAGCCTTGGGGTTGGGGGGGTGCGGTGGTTGCAGAAATGGGGCTGTGATAAACCTACTTTACTTATTGAAATAATGGTACAAGGACTTTAACTGATTTGGAGCAGAAGTTGTACCTGAAAATGTTAACTGACAGCACAAAATAAATGCTACCCATCAAGATATAAAGAATTGTTCCTGAGAGGAGCTACCCAGTGCTATACCAACTCTTCCAGTCTCCAGAGTGTACTTCAGTGGTTCTTCTTAATGCCCCATCCAAAGCACTGCACTTCAAAAAGGGCAACACATCAATGTTGTGCTGGGACATCACTAAATCAACTTCAATCTACTGACCAGGACTTCACAACTTCCCCACTCAGATACACTTATTACCAGTGGAGCTAAACACTCTCTAAGAAATGTTTTGTACTGGTCTGGATCATGCAGTCAATGAGACAGCACATGTTCCTGACCACAAAGAAAAGTGCTCCTGAATATCTAGTAGTTTCTGTAGGATGAATTATCCATTGCCAATTTGAATCTAGCACTAAGTCAAGAAGATCTAAAATGTCTATTGAGCTTGGTAAGGCAGCCAGTCTCTTTGATCTCATACACATTAAACCAGGGAGGAAAGTGCATTGATTATTCTTCATTTTAATTATATTTTATGGAGTGAAATAATTGATTGGAATTTGGAATAAAGCTAGAAACTGAAACATCAAGAGACTTTTTTTTAAAAAAGAATGAAATTTATAATGGAGAAATTTGGCACTCTAAATATGAAGATTTATATTCCAGGGCAGGAAAGGTTTTGTTTAGCAGCAACTGTGAAATAGTAGGTTTTACAATTCTGTTTCAGCTCAATTTACAAGGTATAATTATTTCCAGAAAAATTATAGGGACAAATTTTCCTTGGCTTTTACTTGATTGCATTCAACAGGGTTGGCTTTGAGGTGGTATATGCATAAACTCACCGATACTGATTTCTCCATTTCCACATTCAGTAGCATATGTGCACAGTCTGGGAGTTGCTGCCAGTCTCAGACAAATGCTGACGGCAAAGGTCATCAGTTTTGCTATCATCAAAGTCAATTTGAGGTACAAGACCATTCAACTTACCATATCTTTGCTTAACATACTATCACAAAATGCAGGCCAATCTATGTAAAAGCACGCGTCTTCTTGGAAGTATCACTTTGGTAGTTAAATGCAACAAATGATGTACACAGTGTTCAACTTATAAAAAACATTATAGTCAACTATATTCTCTCTGGGAACTAAAAGGTTCCAACGTTACATGCACACGTTATTCTGCTATTCATTTGTAAATCAACTGCAGAGTGGAGTTTTTTTTAAATCTTAACCAATATTTTCAGCAATAGCATGTTTAAATTTTATATAAATATTGACATTTTTGTGCATCAAGTTAAAGAGTTCTGAATAAATTCTGCAAAAAATAACAATTGGAGTAAAACAAATTTCTGCAAGATAACAGTTTGGAATGCCTGCAAAACTAAGGAAAAGAACTTTTTGGTGTTAAGATCACCAACTCATCAGCCTTTCCATAACATTAGTGAGACCAGTATTTAGATCCTAGTGAATGGAGATTTGAAACATGCAAGCATAAACATGCAAAAAATATGCCAGTGATGCAGAAGTTACAGAATAGTTCAGCAGCATTACCTTTTCATTGCTTAAAGGGTGTTCCAGTCATTGAGCACAACACGTATAATTATATTTTTATACCATTATTTTAATTGATTTTCCCCAAGTCTCATCAGTTCTTTTTTTCCAAAAAACAGCCCATCCGTAGCCCTCAACTAGGGAAAGCTGATACCTGTAAAATCTTCATACGTTGCTCTAAATTATACGGAGCCCAACAACTGAAGATGAGTTAATTGACCTTTTCTAGTTTGGGTAGCCTTCAGTGCACTGCCATCTACCTCTAATGTTCCAGGCCAATACAAAGTAACCTACTGGACAGAAAACCATTCTTGAGTGGAAGGAACGGTCCTAATTTATTTTGGTATGGTCTCTCCATCCGCACTCCTACATCACTTTAACCAGCTAACTCCAAAGCAAAAATTCCACGTGGTGGTCTGGTGACTACCTAAATTCATTACTCACCAACAAAAGTAAATGTAGCCAAAGGCGAATAAAAGGTCTGCTTGCAACGGTGTCAGCTGGCCAGCTCTATCAACAACGGTCCTGGTGTAGAAAGAGAAATCTGCCTCCAATAAGCAATTCTAGGAAGCAGCCTGGTTAAAAATGTGTCAAGTCACATTCAAGCAGTGGTTGGAGAGAGTGGAGTAATCGCAGAAATCAGGCAGCTCATTTGTAAAATGGATGAATTCTTTGTAGAAAATATTACAAAACTGCACACTACAATAGCTGCTCAATCTGGTTGCAAAAGGTTTCTAAAAAAATTCTGATGTTGTTACTACAGCACAAGATAAACTGTTTATCAGCTAGCAAACAAAGAGATTAATTTATACATTTCAACTGCCTATAATGACCTAAGACAGGGTCAAACTGGCAGCAATAAATTGAAATATTTACCATTTGTTGCTACCGTAACATCAAGCTGCCTTAAGATTTACCAAAGAGAGTATTTTGTTTAAAATCAGCTGGGATGTAATGTGGCT